CCCAAGAAGCAAGCAAGATGGAGACGCAGAGTATTTACTGTGCGCAAACAGCAACTAAAGTGATCTTGTCGACAATAAAGGTACATGCATACGATTCAGAGGGCAAGGTGCAAGCTTGTCGTGCGTTACTGGACCCTGGATCGCAAACTAACATATTAACCACGAGCTTGACTAATAAACTCAAGTTAGTCTGCAATAAAGAAGAGCGGCCCATCACTGGAATAGGACGAACAGAGACGAGTGCGTACAAGGTAACGCAACTGCGGATTAAGTCAATCCGAAGTAAATTTGAGGCGACATTAGAATGTTGGTGTTGCCAACAATAACGGAACGGCTCCCTCAGAGCAAGATTGACGTAAAAAAGGTTATACTCCCGAGAGACGCACTTCTTGCGGATCCGTGTTTCGACCAACCGGGGCCAGTTGATTTGCTTATCGGAGCAGGGTTATACTGGAGGTGCCTCGTCGGATCACCAAGAAATAGCATCAAAGGACAGCCATCGATACAACAAACGCACTTTGGATGGATAATAGGCGGAGAGATGGCCGAAACACAACCGCCGTTATCAGCAACCTGCCTCACAGTAACTAACGAAATGTTACTGAAAAAATCGAAGGGTTCTGGACTCAAGAAGAGACACCGGGAACTCCACAACTTTCGGAAGAAGAAAGGAAGTGTGAGCAGCTGTTTAAAACCACATTCAAGAGAGACGAAACAGGAAGATTCTTGGTGCGTTTGCCAGCACGAACGGACGTGAGACTTGGAAACTCGAGAGAGTTTGCGCTCAAACGCTTCATCTCATTAGAAAGGCGATTAGCTAGAGATCCGGACTTGAGGTTGGAATATTGCAAGTTTATGCAGGACTATCTCAGCCAAGGACACATGACATTGGTTGAGGACGAGAATCAGAAGTCAGAGCACTACGTACTACCACATCAGGCGGTTGTACGCCCAGATAGCGTAACGACGAAACTGCGGGTGGTATTTGACGCCTCCGCAAAGACGACAGCGAATACGTCGTTGAACGACAAGCTTATCGCAGGACCGAATCTGCAAGGGAATTTGATCAGCATAATACTTCGGTTCAGAACATACGAGCACGTTGTGACAGCGGACATAGCGTCCATGTTCAGACAGATCCTGGTTGCCGAAGAAGACCGATCGTTACAGCAAATACTTTGGCGGAGTAATCCCGAGGAACCCGTGAGGAGATATCAGTTGAATACCGTAACATACGGTACAAACTGTGCGCCCTATCTGGCAATAAGGTGTCTAAGACAAATAGCTGAAGACGACGGAGGTGATCTACCACAAGCAGCGCACGCGATCATCGAAGATTGCTACATGGATGATGTCCTCAGTGGAGCAAGAACAGTGGAAGAGGCGATTGAGTTACAAAAACAGCTTTCTCAATTGCTGAAGCG